CTCTTTTCTTTTTCTAGCAAAAGCTGAAAATAAGTTTCTCAAGAGATTCTTTTCTCTCTCCTCATCTTGAACATCCCCTTTCTTGGATTTTGACCTTTTTCTGATCTGGCGTTAGTATTTTTCCTCAAAAACTCAGCTTGAGCTTTTACTATTCAACCAAAAAGTTGACTAGTTTGCTCTCTCTGTAATTTTTGCAGAATGTACTCCGACTCTTCTTACTGGCGTCTGCCCTTGTTTGAAAATCCTTACAATAAATTTACAGCAGAAATTAATCACCATAACTTAACTCAGAACACAAAAAGCAAAATTACAATCACCAAACCACTATAGTTATTTGGTGTTTTAATCAGGCAGTCACTATGATGATGTTTTTTTTAATTGGTCGTTAAAAACCAAACAATTATAGTTGAACTTTATGCTCACTGTTTTCATCAGGGACACACCCTATTTTAGTCATGAGGCGTGAAACATTTTACCTATCAAGCTATTTGACTAAACCATTTAAGATGTGAATTATGTTAAATGTGCAGCTCTAAAAGAAAACAAATCTCAGACGCTCCATTATTTGATTGCTATCTTACATAAAGACATATTTATAGACGTAGTTGCACAAACCTTATGTTTTACTTTAACCACAGTTACTTTCACACATTCAAAACGTATATAATCTGCCTAATTTAGACCGATGACAGTTGAATCTGAAATATATATATATAAATTTCCATGTGTGGTACAGATTTTGGTAAACTGTGGCTGTCAACCATGCACCACAATATTTAGCCAACTTGTTTAGGGATGACTACTTTAATTATCCAGAAAAATGTCAAACCTAATTCTTCAAACTAGCTTTGAAATGTACATATAAAACTTTTTAATGTTTTCATTTTCAACCAGTAATTTTTTTAATAAGCCAAATATCTTTTACTGAATCAAAATGATATCTGAAGCTTTGTTTCCATCAACAAAGAAATCCCACATATTACAGTCCCATTAGTTCAATATTAAGTTGGGTTTAATGTTGGTTTAAAACCAGAAATGAAGGATTAAAATGCATTCTTTTTATTTTTAACCAAACCAAAACACGAGTTGTGTGTCTAAAAACAAATGACCATTTTATAGATCATATCCTCTTTCAGTAACTGGTTTTTGACATTTTTTCCCTTAGCACTATTTGTTTAGTGGCGAGAAAAGTAGTGCATTTTTTGCTAGGGTCGGTCATTGTAACCATTTCGTTTCAGAAAAAGATCATGGGAGGAATTGATGCTCTGTGTGCACATCTGCCCGGACCGGCTGCCAAACTCTGCAAAGACGAGGTGGACAAGATGCTCCCGCTGGCCATCACTTTTGTTACTGGTGTTGCAGTAAGTCGGAGGCCGGAATCAGTCGTCGGGTTTTCAAAAACAAAGACCTAATTGATAGTACATATCAAACATAATCCATCTGTCTCTGCAGAAACCATCAGAGGTCTGCAAGATGATCGGGCTGTGTGGCTCCGATGAAGAGCGTCAAAGGATGCTCAGCTACTTTGCTAACGAGGTTCTTCAGGCTGCTTTGAAAAGCGACCATGTCGGTACACACTTACTGTGAAATGATGTTTGAACATTTCCTATCGCCAAGACGTTTACTATCCAGGATTTTTGTGTTTGTTTATCAGGGGGAGCCTGCCACAACCTGCTCCTTCTGTATTTTCTTCTTCAAGACTTTGGAAGAGTTGCTGCCTAAAGAAAGGACCGAGGCGAGTCAGGGAAACTTCACACTTTAAATCAACGGAGGGAAGACACGTGGCGTCAACCCGAGTCACTTTTCTCATTTCCAACTGCAGGGTGCCGTGATCAAACTGCTGGAAGAGATTTGCCACATCTTGCCGTCAACTTATCGTGACCAGTGCGAGGTCATTATTAGCAAGTACAGCAAAACGGTGCTGGATGCAATCTTGGGCTACGCCACTCCGCAGTTCATCTGCAACCTCATCCACCTGTGCAGAGGCCAGGAAGTTGTCGGTCAGTCGGCACTTTCTTGTTTTTTTTTTTCTCTTTAAACCTACAGTTCTCTGGTAGTCTACATTGCTGCAGGTTTAAGTCACGACCCGGTTTTTATTGTATCTTATCCAATAAGATAAAATAAGATAGAATAAGCACACATTTTCATTCTTGAAATTCTTAAAATGTTTTTAACCTATGAAAACTGGAAAAGTGTATCCATGAGCTCAGGTTTGGCCTACTGACAGAAATTTACAGATAAATTCTTTGAAAATGTAGCTAAAAAGCTGCTTATTAAAACTACGTTTTAAATTTCAAGAATATTAATATAATTATCACTTATGAGACTAGAACTTTAAGGAAAAGTGAGTAGAAAATATAATATAGGAGTATCAAGAATTCCTAGATGCCTTACTAAATCATATTTATTTTTTTAAACAAATATGAAAACACATTTGAGGAAAATTATTTAGATAAACTGTGAACCCAACATGCAAATCCAAAATTAAAATATGGGTAGATGCAAAAAACAAAATAAGTGCAAAAGTTTTGGTAATTTGTGGTACAAAATAGCGATTAAATAAACATGGAAAGTAAAAAAAAAAAACACTCAACTTTATAACACTGATACTTTCCATCAATTAGAATAATCTGAACTGAAAAAATATTTAACGATATGAATCTGCAGAGCATTGAATAGTTTTCCACGCTCACAAATAATAAAACATTAAAGTTTTTCTGCTGACTTCACAGACCCGTGCACACTGGCAGCGTACAGATGCAAAGACGTCAGCAGCGCCCTGAAATGTGGAGTAAGTCGACAACCTAAATGAAGCCACCAGTTTAGCTTCCTGGTGTTAACATACAATCTGTCCTCTGCATGCAGACTCTGTTCTACTGTCAGAAATTTGCCTGGAAGCCTCTGAGCTACAACACAATCTGAAACATTAAGGTGAGTAAACAACACCAACGGCAAGAAAGTCAGAAAAAGACAGAACTGCAATAAGCCGTATGCACTTATTTTTCTTTAACAGGGTGGAGAAGAACCGGCGCCGTTCCTGTGAACACACCCTGCTCACATATACTAATATACCAATATTTTTCCCCTATATAATTTTGTATCTTACTGCATTTTATGATTTGTTTTGCTTTGTGATTACACTGGCTGAGCTAAAAAAAAAAAAAAAAAAAACAGTGCACCAAGAATTATCAGGACTGAAGAAATGCTGCAGATATGAAAGCTTCACTGGATGGAGGTTGAATTCTTCATATCCCAGCTACTCTGTATACAAGATTAAACCTTCAGTCAGCTTATCAAGCTTCAGTAGTTTATGTTTTTTTTATTGTTTTTGTTTGATTTGGCTGGAATAAAATGATCCCAATGACATTTCACTGCAATTATTTTGTACACTCCACATTTTGTCCCCCCTCCGCAGGCGGAAACCAAGTTTCTGAAAACACCTGTAGCCCAAATATTCAGGCTTTTGTGTTACAATTTAAAGTCAAGCATGATAAGTCGCGTGTTCACAGAGAGCAGAAGTGACTCGTTAACTTGGGATGGAAACTATTCATAAAGGAAGTGATCACTTCGACCAAATCTTCAAAATACTCAGTTCTGCTTTCATGTTCTCGCTGGTATTTTCGTGTACATATGGTCACCAGTTGAAGCACGCATCAAACAAACAAGTTACACATGTGAGTTTTTATTCAAGGAAAATTCAGAAAGGAGAAGAAGAAAGAGACACGAAGGTAACAAATTGATTTTAGGTTCATTTGCAGCAAACGAGAAAAGGCACTTAATACACAAAACACCGACTTGAACTAAAAGAAGGGGAACGGCTTTTCAAACTCCCAGCTGCAGACGATGTAAACAGGCTGGTTTCTCTGTACAACACCAACCAATTATTTGTCCGAGTCGTGGATGAGTTTGAAAAAGCAAACATGTTGTGAAATAAATAGTCGAGTAAAACCACCAGATAACTGGGCAGACAGTGAGCGCCCTAAAACTCTACGTGGCGTTACGATATCAAGATATATCAATTAAAAACCTCGTCTTAAAGTTTCTCCAGCTGCCCCTCCCAAACCTGCTGCTGCATCTAACACAGATGATGATTAGCATCGTCTCTTAAATACGTTTAATTTTTTTTTTTTTTTAAAGAGCAGAGTGGCAGAAAGGTATAAATTACCTCAAACTAAAGCAGGTGATCAGGTTATAGTTTGGTGTTTGGTCATTTTGGCAGCAGTTATAACCAGGGTTTCCGGTTTTAAAATACTTAACCACAGAACTGAGCTGAAAACACCAAAGGCAACTCTTAGCTTCAGTAGTTTTTAGAGAAACGGCGCCACCTAGATGAGAGCTGTGGACTGACAGCACTAAGATTTTACAGTACATATCCTGGTGATTTATATTTCAAGGTTAAAAGTCACACAGAAAGACAACTAGCCAGGTATTCAGCTGTTATCTGGGTGAAGCAAGTGGACGAGAGCGGCGATCTGGAAAAATCCAGCAGAGGAGATTTTATTTTATTTAAATATAATTTAAAGCTGGAAGTTCAAACATTCAAAGCCAAAGCCTGTTCCACGTTTGGTACGCCCAAGCACCGACTGTCGAAAAGGAAGAAGAATACATTCAGTACACCAACTGGGTCTCACACTGCAACAAGTCACATAAATTAATCTCAGCGACGAGCCGATGGAGTGTTTGCCTTCAGGAATAAGATGATCTTTGTGCCTTTATCTTAGTCGACATTTTGAACAGAGTTTGAAAAATCCTAGAGAGATTTAAGGGTAGAAAATAAATATCTACATAATACAGAAACCACTGTGCAGCCCAACATAACCACAAAACCATTAGCAGCTTCTGACTTCTCTGTAAAACGTCAGAAAAAGAAACAACGGCATGAAGAGGCTGCACACAATTTCATAAATAACAAAATGGTCTGGTTTTCATTTGTGACATGACCGAGCACGAACTGGCTCGTTTCTTCATCTGTACTGCAACAAGATGTAGGTTAAATGTTCCTTTGAAACCTGTCTTTAAAAAAAATCTTAATTTTTAATACTAAATAAGTAAAAATTATAGTGCAGCAGGTGGAATAATTGTAACTTTGCCAACAGCTGGACAAAAACTAATTGGATGGTGTTCTGATGTACGAGCAAAACAAAGCGAAGAAGAGGAGGAGAGGACGGTAAGAGGTTTATCTGCAGGACGGTGTGTGTGTGTGTGTGTGTGTGTGTGATGGGATCAGAGTGCCTCAGTATTTCAGCTTCTTGGGAATCTCCCAGGAGAACAAATCCCGACCAAAGTGACCGTAGGACGCCGTGCGCTGGTAGATGGGCTTCTTCAGGTCGAGGTCCCTTAGAGAAACAAAAGTTCATCATTCATTAGGAAAGTAAAAATACACGGATAAGTCTTTGTCTTCCATTTCTTTTAGTTATTGCTTCATTTCTATTTGCTAAATGCCAAAAATGATGAGCAAAAGATCACATCAGAATATCGGAAGCGTCTCTTACTTTCTTTAGTTAGAGATTTCTATTTACCATGACTTCTGGGAAAGCCTGGATGTTTGCGTCTGATTGATAAATTCACTTCTGATTTAAGTGGGAGGTCCAGCTGCGGATTTATTTTAAAGGCAACTCCTCAAACGTACAGCCGGTCACTGAGCTGAACAACTGGTTGATTTCAATACTTAATTCTTTAGCGAACAGCCACAGCATTTAAAGCCTTTTGAGGGAATATGCAGTAAAACGCTCAGACATTCATTTGCATAATTTGACATTAATTGGAGCCGATATTTTCCTCGTCACTAGGAAACTCTTTGCAACACAAGGCCAAAGCAGGATATTCAATTTAGTTTTTTTCCCTTTCAATTCTGCATACTTTTAATTAAAATTTATACCAATTGCAGCTAAAACAATCTTTTACCCTTTAGACCCCATCTTGACCTCTACAGTTTGAGCTTCCTGCCGTTTTACTCAATTATGTTGTAGAAACAAGAAACGGTTTCATAAAAAGTTGTTCTCCTTTCAGTACCAAGCAGGAGGTCAGAGTTCAGCTGGTTTAACGAATGGAGCAATATTTATATTTAATTTTTACAAGGCCAAAGCTTATGAATTTTTTTTTACCTTTAGCTAAACATTGAGTCAGTTTGTTATCTTTATTTGTAGAATTGCACAAAAATATCTTGCTTTGCTTTTAAAAAATTTTTTTTTAAATATCACACCTTAGTTTTGTTTTTTGGGAGATTATTGACACAGTTTACCTCACTATGACCCCTGGGCGGAGGTCAAAGTTCTTTCTCACGATGTCCAGCAGCTCTCTCTCGCTCTTCTGCGAGGTCCCATAATGGAAGATGGAGACAGACAGAGGATGGGAAACTCCAATAGCATAGGAAACCTAAAACCGCAGACAGATTTGATCATTTCTGAAGGTATTTTAACGACGTTTCTGCTTCATTCGTTCATTTATCTCTCATTTCACCACCAGGCGAGGAGAGTTCTTACTTGGACCAAGACGCGTCTGCAGAGTCCAGCTTTAACCAGAGATTTGGCCACCCAGCGAGCGGCGTACGCCGCAGAGCGATCGACCTTCGTGTAGTCCTTTCCAGAAAACGCTCCGCCTCCATGGGCTCCCCACCCTCCATAGGTGTCCACTATGATCTTACGCCCAGTCAAACCAGCATCACTCTGCAGGAAAGATGGAGTACATTTACAGAAAGTTAAGGTCATAAATATGAAAACATGTAATCCAGATGCCTTAAACTGATTAGTAAAGTCTTCGTAAAGCCGTTCTCTCACCTGTGGACCGCCAATGACAAAACGGCCGCTGGGCTGCAGGTGGTAGATGGTGTCATCGTCGAGGTAACCAGACGGCACCACGGCTTTCACCACCTGTTCCTTCAGGCTGTGACGCATCTCCTCCAAACTCACACACTCGTCGTGCTGCACAGAGATCACGATGGTGTGGACACGCAGCGGCACCACGGCTCCTCGGTCCTGTCGGTACTGAACGGTCACCTGGACAGAGGAGAAGAAGAACTCGGACGTAAAATCTAAACAGAACCTGGTGATGATTAAACTGTTTCTGCAAGTTATGGAGATGTACAAGAATTTACATGTTCTAATGGGTTATACGGAACCTTATTCAGTTTTAGTGCGTCAACAACTTTGATTCATATAAACAGTCTTAATACTAAATAAATGCTTTTATTCATTTGCACTAGAAGAATCTTATTAGTGATAACACACTGTAAATCATAACATATTCATAATAATGGACCCAAATTACAAAATTTTAATTCCTAATTGTTTAATATTTAATTGGTCCGTGTATACAAGTTATCGAACATATTGATTCACCATAAATACATTGAATAAATTAGTTAACATTGATCCTGCAATTACACAACCATGCTAGGTGTATTCATACTTAAAGTTTCCAAATAAAATCCTTTTAAAAAAAAGACTTACAATTGGTTAAGAATTTTTTTTAAAGAAAATTTTAGCTGACCTATCTGAAACTTGTATAAAATAATAATAAAATAAAAAAAAACACAAGGTCACGTATTAAATTATATAAAAACTTTTGTAATTCTACTGTACTTTATACATAGGAAGAACCTGGCAGGCACAAAGTAACCACTAGATGGCAGTAATACCCGTTTTAAAATGAAAATATTTAAACTTAAAATTCTTCTCACCCAACATTATAAAGTTTGGATGAAATCTTTCTACATTTTTTTAAATTAATTATCTAATTGACCTTTAAACTACAGCAAGTTTAATAATAATAAATGCTAATTTTATGCTCGTCTAACCTGAGTCTTAGAGTCGGGTCGGACCCACGGCAGCGTTCCATCCCGACGCAACTCGGCCATCTTGGCGTTGAGCTTGTGAGCCAAGACGATGGTGAGCGGCATACACTCCTCCGTCTCATCCGTGGCATAACCAAACATGAGACCCTGTCAGAAATGCAGTCACGGGATGAACGAGGTCAAACAAGCCGATTTGTCGAACTGCTGACCGAGCACAAACCTGATCGCCGGCTCCAACGTCCTCTTCTTTACGGTCGAGATAAACGCCCTGAGCAATGTCAGGAGACTGCTGCTCCAAAGCCACCAGCACATTGCAGGTCTTATGGTCAAAACCTGTGAACAAAGGTCGTGACCTCAAAGGGAGAATCATTTCACCTGGCCAGAGCAGCCTGCAAAGAACCACAAGACTTTACCAGGTAATTGGCTAAAAATCCTCCATTGTTAATTTAAAAAGTTGTCATATTTTTTATTCCATTCTTTCCCAGTCTTAGATTTCTGGATTTTTCAGTAACACGTTTAGGCATTAAAGTATAAATTTTACTCTGAACCTACTGCTAGTGATGTGGTATAGAGCCATTTCTTACCTCACCTCTATTTCTAAATCTTAAACTCTTAGTCAAATAAGATATGGAGAATCAGACTTCCTAAAAATAGCTCTTTCCTTTGTTTGGCACGTTAGACAAAGACTTTAGACGGTTCAACACGTCTGGAGTGAAAACAGGGAGAGAAAAAGACTGTTTTCAATTCATTCAACAACAAAAATAATACTCGGAGCCCCTGTAGTCCTGACGTCCATTATTCTGCAGAGCGTCAGATGAAAAGTCAGACTGTCCCACACAATACTGCACAGGCTAAATTAATGTCATTTTCTGGGTGTTCACTGCAGAGCTGGTCAAAGACGGATCCATTTCCCCCTCGATGACCTCAAAGCAGCACAGTCCATGTCTGCTCTCACTCTGAAAGATCCCAGAGTCCAAAAGCGTCAGTGTGTAAAGCCCCACCTTCAGAATCCCAAAGTTTCTCTCCAGAAATCTGCTTCTAGATTTAGGGTACAACTTGGACACGCCTTGGGAAAACAAATCAGCTTCACCTTCTGATGACGAAATCTGTTCTATCCAGAAAACCACTGCTCATGTGAGCAATTACCCACGGGAGCTGCAGCCGCAGGAAATCTCCTTACTGGGACGTAAGGAGATTTTGTGGTAATTAATGTTAATTAAATTCTAAAACAATTATTTCCTGATAATGTAACAGTTAAAAGTTTTGTTTCGCATAATTCTTCATCTGGACAAAAAAAAACCATGTACAATTTTATAATTTTCCACAAAGATAAACTTGTACAGCTTTGGTACGTTACACAATCAACTTCTCATTTTAAATCAAAGAATAATTATGAATCAAAAATGCATAAAATTTATCACAATGTCTTGCACTAGATGGGTTCATCACTTAAAAGTTATCTTTTTTTAGATTAGCTTTGAACATATTTTCCCCATTTTCAACTTAAAGAAATTACTTTAAAATATATTTAATGAATAGGGCCCAGTTCTAAAATGTATTAAGTAGGTTAATGTCCCTCTTAAAATAGTGCTGTGCAGTTCAGTGAAAACACTAAAGGAAGAGGTCTGCCAGTTCGAGATTATTGGCTAGTTTGTTTAAAAAAATAAATAAACAAATCCATATTTGCTTACCATCACCATGTTTATCTCTTTTCAAACAACAAGAAAAGTTTAATAGGCAGCATAGAACTGGGTCTGAACCAGCTTTCTTTCTCCACAAGCGTACCTTTGGAGGAGTCGTCATAGCCGATGTCCTTGATCGTCTCCCTGACGACCTTCTGATAGTCAACAGTGGCTCTGGAGGTGATCTCCCCCGCAAGCAGGATCATCCCCGTCTTAGCTACAGTCTCTGGGGACAAACAGAAAACATTTAGTGTGCTAGATCCAGATCTAATTCAGTGTGCAACAATGTTTAAACACCAACGCTGCACTACTCATGCTACACTTTGCTGCCTTCGACGTTGAACAAAACCGTGTGACAATGAAACATTTCCAGTCCTATTCAGATGAAGATGAGGAGAAGCTCACAACCACAAACAGAACAATATTCACTTTATTCGTCTGGTCCATTAAGGACCACCGCACTCGAACCTGAAAGCTTTTACAGCTTTCATCATCTGCCTCCCGGGTGTATTCAGCTACAAAGCAAACAATAATTTCCAACCAGAAAAACAAAGGGGACCTTTAAGCTATAATTGAGTGTGGGTAGGATGAGTCAATATTTTTTTTTTAAGATTAATATTATTTCTGCCAATTAATCCCATGACAACGTCTGAAGATTTTTCTCTGTTGATCTAAGAGTAAGTTTGAACACTGCAGTTTTTTT